AAAAAAAAAAGAAAAAAAAAGAAAATTGATGTTCAGAAGTTAATTAGCATATTCAATGTCACAGACTTAATAAGTGACAAAACCAACATTTGAATCCACTCAACTGGCTCCTGATCTAGGAGCTTAACAATTCACTAAACTATATCAAATAATAGTTGAATAGAAAAAGGAGAAAAAGAAAAAATATTGCAGCAGAGAAAAAGTATACATTATGCAGCTCAGAGTCAACACTTAAATGTTCATGGGATGAACTGGGATGATGTGGGGGTAAAAAAAGGAAGTCACAGAAGACTAAATACAATAATATAACACTTCAAAAAATATTTTAAAAAGTGACAGTAAAAAACAAAGTGATAGTAAGCATCTTTTTTGGAGGTGGGAAACTATTAGAATGTGTCAAAGAAATGAAAAGCAGAAGTTTTCTGGTTGCAGGCACAGGAATTGCTTAGGGAGAGATTTCAGGAAGGAAAAATATTTGGAAAATGTTCAATTCGTGAGTTGGATGTTCACTTCACAGGTGTTCATTTTACTACCCTACTTCATAACTTAATGGATGTTACATGTATTGTTTTATGTTTCAAATATCATATGACAAATGTAAATACATCTACAGAGTCAATAAAACAAGTAAAAAATAGGTTAAAGAAAGGTTGAAGTGGAAAGGGTAGTACTTTAGTTCATAGTTTTTATAAACACGCATAAACACAAACCAATCCTACACATGTCTGTGAATATCTCTTTGTGTGATTATGATTATGACCAAGTTTAATAAGTGATTATTAGCACCAGGAAGTAGGTATGGGGGAGCCACTGGTGGAGAGGATTTTCACGTGTCAGTCTTCCCAATCACGCTCCTCCACTGTCTACATGGAAGCCGCATGATCTTTATTGAACATGGATGATCTGTGGCCACTTCCTTTTCTAAATCATCCCATTGGCTTTTTAAAGTAATCAAAGTAAACTCTGAATTTGCGTACTCTTACAAACCATTATTGATCCATCTCTAGCCTTCTCCTTTGACTTCCTCTTCGATTCGCTATCACCCAATTTAACCAATGACACTCTTTCCACTCCTGAGTTTGCAAGTCCTCCTCTATCTTAAGGGCTTTGCATTAGAGTTCTCTCACCTGGAATTCTCTTCTCCTGAATATCCTTCCTGTCATTCATTCCCAAAAGAGTCTTTTTCCGGCACTTAATCCAGGTAACCAGCTACCTTGGCCTTCTGTATCAAATCACTATGTTTAGATTTCTACCAACTTTCATAATTTGATATTTTCTGTTGGCTTGCTGATAAATTTTCTGTCTTCCACCTTTAGAATGAAAGCTCCAGATCACAGGGGAAGTTGTCTTTTAAGAACTGTACCTCCAGAGTTTAGAAGCCTGCCGTTCTTATATAGAGGATATTCAATATTTCTTAGTAAAAAATAAAGAATATAGAGATTGTTATTTTACAAGTTCTCTGATTGGAAAAGGCATTCACAATCCCAAAATTTTACCTTAATATCAGTGAGTATTTTGGACTATGTAAGGTCATAGTTAATATGAAACACATTGATTATTTTGACCTAAATAGACCGGATTTAAGTAACTGTTAACTTTATGTAGGGTTGGATTTTCATAGTTTATCAGAATTGGTACTATATTAACCATAAGAAAACAATGTAAGGGTTTTTCTTTGGAAGTCTAGAATTGTAATATGAGAACTATAAAAGTGAAGAAAAAATATGATACAGCTTTAAGATATATATCTAAAATTATATTCGGTAATAATGACACTATTAAGTGATGGCTGATTCAATTTACTGAGTACATATAATTTGTCTTCAGTGTGAGTATATTATCTCAATCTTCCTAACAACATAATAAATAAGTATCATTACCATCACTTTATAGATGAAAAAACTGAGGGTCAACAATATAGGTAAATTGTTTTGTTTCCCGGCTGGTACATGCCGAGGCTAGAATTCAAACCAAAAGCTATCCACACAGCAAGCTTGTGATTATTCTATTAACTTGCATTGCCCTATCTTTTAGCTTAGCAGTATTTCTAAATATTACACAAGTTTGTTGTAACATAATACATAAACTTCCAAATAGTATAGTTTCATTAATGGCATTTGTCAAAAGACTATGGGATGGTGGTTGATGAGCTCAGCTATGTGAAAAGCATGTAGAAACTAATCAAGCTGGATGACATACAAGATCTCAGAAATTTCAATTTAAAAGCTGTGGAAAAGATTATAGGGGCGCCTTGGTGGCTCAGTCGGTTAAGCGTCTGCCTTCGGCTCAGGTCATGATCCCAGGGTCCTGGGATCGAGCCCTGCATCGGTCTCCCTGACCCATGGGAAGCCTGCTTCTCCTTCTCCCACTCCCCCCGCTTGTGCTCCCTGTCTCACTCTGGCTTGAGCGCTCTCTCTCTGTGTCACATAAATAAATATATATAGTCATAAAAAAAAAAGCTGTGGAAAAGATTATTACAAAAAGGAAGTAAGGATTATCAGACTGAAAATAAAGGTGTGGAATCTAAGGGCCTCACACTATAAACGTCATCTGGGCATACCCTACAATTACGTGAGACTTCAAATTTCTAATTGGCCAATTTAGCAGTCCTACACTCAGAAACCTCAACCCACCTAAACTGGTACATCTGTTCCCCTCATTTGCAACTCTGTAACTCAGTAAGTTATAGAAATAATAAATGAAATTCAACTATTAATAATTGTCCATTATCTGTAGGTATAAGTTTCATTTTCAGTATGTGATAGAGAGTTACTACATCGGCTATAAGAGGTAATTCCCTTAAAAATCATATATATGAAATACTACTTTCTTAGAATGTTTGGGTAAAATGCCAAATTCCTTTTGTCACTTTCTGTATTCATTCAACTAGGAATAATCTGAAATCATTAATTATTGTGCAAACCAAGACCCCAAATTTCATAATTTTGTTGCAATGTGGTTTTTGGACTATTTGCCATAATCATTCCTATTTGAGACACTGAGAGAACAACAACAAATGTGATGGGTTAAACACTTGGGATACAAACTATTTTTGATCAAGGAAGGACAGCAACTTGTGACAGAATACAAGTAAGAGATATTTCATTTTTACGAACAAATATTTACCTGTGAGCCTGTGGAGTAGCGTCCAGGAGTTCGAGAACCAGATGTTTTCCCTGAGCCAATGGAACTCTCTGTACTTTTGCCGCTACAACAATGCGTTCGCAGGCATTTCCCATACTCTTTTCGTACCTAGCCAATTAAATATTAACTTCTGTTAGCACGTAATTCATTTCCGCTGGGAACTATGGTATAAAAATGTATGTGAGTTTCATTTTTAGATCATTAATATAATTATTTCCTTACCCTACGGATATAAGAAAGTCTGTTTAGCATATATTTTACAATATAAAAGGATATCCAAGCCACCAATCTTAAAATTTCACATAAATGGAACCTTTTAAAATAGGCACCCATGCACACACACATGCAATTATGCTATAACACTACTACCTCTTAGTTCAAAAAACAAAAAGTTAAGACTCTTTAAGACACTATTTTTAGCCTTATAAATTTGGTCTGAAGTGGCCCCTTGGTCCAATTGTTCTTTGAATTGAGGTCTAGTGAGGAAGCCACAGAGAGAAGAGGGGATGGAGAAAGGGAGGGGAGAGGGGGGAGAGAGAGGAAGAGAAAAGAGAAAAAGAATGTTTAAACACAGAAAAAAGGAATGTGTTGGGTTAAATTTCCTTTAGATCTATATTTCTCTGAAGTTTATTTCCTCTAAAAGAGGTCAAATTTATAACTTCAGAATATAAAATCCAAAATATTTTTAAATTTATTCCATCATAATAATTCTATTCAATAATCACAGATTGCTTTTCTTTATTAAACTCTTAATCCTGCTTGGAGTATAAAATCATGGGAAAAAAGGAGATAAACATTTTTTTTTTTTAGTTGATGTTTCCAAGCAGGGTAACATATCAACAATGTCTGGGAAAACTTTTATCATGTTTAAAATTTTTATTACTATCTCTTTAATCAAACAAGACATACAAAAATAAACAGTAACTGCCCTAAATCATACTTGCACTATGTACAACAACAAAAATAATCCCCAACTATGTCTTCCTCAACTATAAACACATTTTGGGACATTTTATTGGTTATGCATTCCAAATTTATGTTCATTATGAAATAACACTGTATATATTATCATATATAAATATCATTTATATATAATACATATTATATGTAAGTATTATTATATATAAATATTACAATATAATATAAATACATATAATATAAATATTAATATATTATTATATAAATAACACTGTATATATTATTCTTGGGGCCCTGGGTGGCTCATTGGGTTAAAGCCTCTGCCTTCTGCTCAGGTCACAATCTCAGGTTCCTGGGATCAAGCCCCGCATTGGGCTCTCTGCTCAGCAGGAAGCTTGCTTTCCCCCCTCTCTCTCTCCCTGCCTCTCTGCCTACTTGTGATCTCTCTCTCTGTCAAATATATAAATAAAATCTTAAAAAAAAAAAAGACTTTATAATCATTCTTAGCTCTTTACGTATTGAATTCACATGAGTTCATCCTTTCCACAATTTGGGACAATGTAATATCTCAATGTAATTTTATTTAAAGCAAAGTTATAGATGCTTGCTTTTTTGAGAGACATATTTAGAATCAAAAGCAAAAAAGTTAGTGTGAATGATACATTAATATTAGCATTCAGAACTAAACTACCATATCTTAATATTAGAGGGTTCGTTCTACCAAAGATATAGCAGAATTGGAGACAGAATACATTCAGGTTTGCTTGAAGAATTCACATATATGAAATGCTTATTCTGTGATCAGAACAGCAATCTACCAAAATATGAAGGAGGCATGCCTGCTGGCAATAAGAAGGGGGGCTCGGGAAGGCTTCTCAGAGAAGAGGATTTCTGAGAGAATCTTCAAAAGATAGGTTGGAATCTGTCAGGTTAGAATATGAAGTTGAAAGTAAGGCTAGATAAGAGAGACAAAGGCATTCTAGGTATTGCGCACAGGGTGAGCAGCTTTTGAGGACTTGCTCTGATCTGGAACACCAGCATTACAATCATTAATATATTTTAAATTAGAGTGATATGTTTTCCAACCAATCTCTTCTATGGGCACATTCATGAATAATTAGAAATGCTAGTTTTATTCAGTGTTTAAAAGCCAATTCACATTTTGTTTATATTTTAAAAGAAATAAGTTGATACCCACTTGTGAGTGTGCCTAATAGATATGTGAGATTGGGAGTATGGAGTGAAAAAGCTTCTGATTTTTAATAGCTATTTCCTAGGAATTATGCTAGGTCCCTCCCTCAAAATGACTTTAGGAAATAATCGTTACCTCCATTTTACAGATAAGAACACTGAAAAGCTTAAGCAATGAAAATAAACTGAAAGATTGAAAAGATTAGGCAATATGCCCTATGTGAAAAAAATCCACATCTTATAGGTGCTCTATGGTCAGAAAGCTCTTTATAAGAGGTCGCATTTCTAAAATTAATATGTTAACATTATTATTAAAGTAATCTATTAAGTTATCCCTTTCTCTGTATCTGGAAAAAATAGGGACAAATGCTTTAATTAGAATTTGAGAAAGCTAAAAATTATTTCTACCCAAAGGTAAGCACTATCAATTACAGTTTATTAGTTCTGAATTAATGAAGTATTTCCAAGAACCAAAATGCTGATTATAACCTATGTCCCACTTTGTTTTTCCTAATGTACTCAAGAGCATATTTTTTTCTTAGAAAAGAAAGGGTTTTTTAATGAAGTGATTTAAACTTAAACAAATATTTTAAGAGGGGGAGATAGAGAAAAAGAGAACCACTCTCATTCCTGTCACAAAGGCAGCTATACTGTATAAGCCACAGGAATTCATCGTGGACTATTTTCATTTTCCAACAAAGGTTAAATGTTCTGAACTGGTTATATATAAGACCAGCAAACCAAGACAAATATGCCAAATTCCATATTTAGGTGTATTACTTTCTGAATCTTAACTGAGTTTATTTTCCTGTGATTAGTTTTGAAATGCTAAGCATGTGTCTTAAAAAGAAAAAAGGTAAATAACATGGACTGTATCTCTGAATATATCAAATAAAAGTTATTTGATCAGTCATTTGCATATTCTAATCCACTATTTCGCATGATAATCCATCCTACCACGATCAGATATGGTATCTTATTGTTTTAATATTGTTCTAGAATATAGAAGATGGGAAAGAAACTGTACCTTATCAATGGAACATTTCTTTTATACTCTCAGATCAGAAATAATTATGATACCCTCTGAGGTTTATAATTGAGTGCATAACAAGAGAAAAAGTGATAAAATTTAGTGTCACCAGTAGAAATACTGGTATTGGTCATATCATGCAATCCACACTCAGAATAGGACTGATAACACAGAGTTGGATTTTTATTAATGAGCTGAATCAATCAACAAATACCCCCATAAGGCAACATATCTCAAAATGGAGTATTTCATATTTCTCTAATCAAAACATATGAGCAACTACGTCAGCATGGGCACATTACGGAAATTCAATCAGATGGCTTAAGAAAAACTTCTTAAGAGAATTAAGATTGTTAAAATGTGCATACTACCCAAAACCATCTGTAGATTCAATGCAGTTTCTCAAAATTTCAATGGTATTTTTCACACATACAGAAAAAACAACCTTAGAATTTGTACAGAACTACACACACACACACACACACACACACACCCCAAAGGCCAAAGTAATCCTGAGAAAACAAAGCTGTAGGCATTACACTTCTTGCTTTCAAACTATACTACAAAGCTGCAGTAATTAAAACGATATGGTGTTGTTATACAAATAGACACACAGACCAAGAGAACAGAAATAGCCCCAAAATAAATGCTTACATTTACTGTCAACTAATATTTGACGAGGGAGCCAAGAATACTTGATAGGAAAAGGATAATCTCTCCAATAAATAGTTTTGGGAAAACCAGATAACTACATGCAAAAGGATGAAATTGAACCCTGTCTTAAACTACTCACAAAACTTGACTCAAAATGAATTAAGGACTGAAACATTTGATCAGAAAGGATAAAACTCCTAAAAGAAAATATAAGGGAAAAGTTCCTAGACACTGGTCTTAGCAATGATTTTTGAACATAACATCAAAAACAAAAGCAACAGAAGCAAAAATTAATAAGTCAGATTACATCAAAATAAAAAGCTTGTGCATAGCAAAATAAATAATGAAATGAAAAGGCAATCTACAGAAATGAAGAAAACATTTGCAAATCATATTTCTGTTAGGGGTTCACATCCAAAATATGTAAAGAACTCATATAACTCAATAGCAAAAAAACAAAACAATCTAATTACAAAAGGACAGAGAAAATGAATAGATCTGTTTCTTAAGAAAACATAAAAATGACCATCATAAAAAGATGCTCAACAGCACAGAGCAGGGAAATACAAACCAGTACCACGATGAGATACCACTTCACATCTGACAGAATGGCTATCATCAAGAAGACGAGAAAAAATTAAAGAAAACAAGAGATAACAAGTATTGGTGAGGATGTGGAGAGAAGGGGAGCCCTTGTGCACTGTTGAGGGGAATGGAAATTGGTAGAGCTATTATGTGAAACAGTATAGAGTTTCCTCATAAAATTAAAAACAGAACTGCCATATGATCCAGAAATCTCCCTTCTGGGTATACATCCCCAGGAAATGAAATCAGAATCTCAAAGATCTATCTGCACTCCCATGTTGACTGCAGCATTATTCACAATAGCCAAGACATGGAAACAACCCATGTGTCCATCAACGGGTGAATAGAATAAAAAGATGTGGTACATACATACAATGGAATATTGTTCAGCCATGAAAGGAGGAAATCCAGCCCTTTTCGACAACATGGATGAAACGAGGGCATTATGCTACTCATTGGGCAACTACCACTCATTGGGCAAAGAGCTGAACTCATAGAACCAGAATTGAATGGTGGTTACCCAAGACTGGGAGTAAGGAATTGGGAGGATACTGGCTAAAGGGTACAAACTTCCAGCTATAAGAAGAGTAAGTTCTAAGGCACTAATGTACAGGAGGATAATTATAGTAAACAAACCTGTATTACATATTTGAAAGTTGCTAAGAGAGATCTTAAATGTTCTCACCACAAAAAAAGAAATGGTAACCATGAGTTGATGGAAGTATTAGCTAATATTATGGTGGTAATCATTTTATAATAAATGTGTACCAAATTAACACACTGTAGGGCTTAAACTTACACAATATAATATGTCACTTATATCTCAATTTAAATAAAGGAATAAAAGAAAAATCTCCTAAGACATTTCTGCAATTTTAAACAAAATTATCTGTTTGTTTTGTAAGGATAAAGGTAAACAATTCTATGTTTTCTATATTTCCTAATGTTGGCCATGTTCTTGACACCCAATAAAAATGCCACCAAAATTAGAAAATTCAAAACATAAGATGAATGAAAGAATAATATGCTTATTATTCATTATTATAAATCATAAAAGTAAGCTTCTAAAGCAGGAATTGGTAAATTTTTTCATGAAGGGGCAGATAGTCAATATTCAGGCTCTGTTAACCAAGAGGCAACTAAGGATGTTATTTATATACTTAATTTTATATTTTAAATGTAACCACTTAAAAATATAAAAACCATTCTTGGCTGACTGACTGTAAAAATCAAAGGCAGCTAGACATATTTGACCCATGACCTGTTGTTTGCTGAAATCTGTTCTAATGAATCACAAAATTGAGCTTGATGACATGTATTTAAAAAAAATTTTTCACGTATGTTAAATATACTAAAAACTCAAGACGTGGTTTTAGATCCTGAGGCTTAATATCTTTTCCTGTATATCAAAAGCAATCCCTAGTTATACCAGCCATGTATGTTTGTAAGATAAGAAAAATAAAAATAATTATTGGGAAAACCTAAAAGATATTGGCTAATAGAAATACTCAAAATCAAAATAATTAACACATAAAATACAAAAAGTATTTTCTGCTTTAAAGAAAATTTCTATATAACATTAAAATTTAAAATTTTGTTAGCCCAAATTTCTAGTTAATGATTAAAATAAAAATAATAGGTAAATCTGGTTCACTATACTTGAAGATGTTAAAATTGCTTAATGGCCCAATAGTCCCTTATTTATACAGACAATGCTACTTTTTCCCTTAATCTTCAATTTCGCTCTCATCTTTTTATATATATTTCTTTTGACAACCAGTTATGTCTTTCTTCTATCAAAATCTGGAAGATTTTTTCCCCCAAATGCGTAGTCTCCCTCACTTCTCCGAAAAGTTTTATGATATTGGCTGCTGTCTACTTTTGGACATTTTCTCCTATCTTTAATTCAGTATATCATCTTGATCCTGATTTTGTTCCTTGGACACTTCTTTTTCCATCTCTATTCCTAGTCATTATTCACATATCCTACTCTTTACATCCCTCAAGTGTGGTAGACTGCTAGCTGTTTATAACACCTAATTCCTCATCTTCCCGAGGTAAAAAAGCTAGACTATGTTTTCTAGTCTTCCTTGCAGTTTAGGTGGTACCATTGATAGTGTCCTATCTGATGGAAGGTGAGTAGAAGTGATGGAAGCCTCTTTCAGACCTTGTACACAAGATCCCCTCTTTCTCAGACTGCCTGCTCGGTGTCAATACTCAAGATGACTATGGAAATCATATACCAAGGTTGGCTAAGACTTCATCAGTCTGTGTCCTTCCATGAGATACCACCATCAGTTGGGACATAAGTAAAAAAAAAATAATAATAAGTATTTTGCGGTTAAGCAGCTGCAATTTTAGGGGAGGTGTGCACTAAATATTTGGGAAGATTCATCCATTATAAATATAACCTCTTTTCTAAATTAATTCTCATTCAATAGGTTAGAATCCATCCATTCCCTTACAACCTCTTTACTTTTCTGTAACCTACATTTATAGGCCTCAGTCATCATTACTATTCTAGCCTTATTTATGATTATGTCAACACATTTTTTATATCTACCACCACATACAACTGAAACGGAACATGTGGATACCCGTCTCAAGTATTGTTTTAGGTCCTATGAGTCTCTCAAATCAAAAATCACAGACACAGATATTTTACTCTTTTTTTTTTTTTTTTTTTTTTTGGTTTCCCAAAGAAAAATTTTAAGTGTTGTTTCTCTCTTAGAAGAAATTTTCACATTTTGACATTTCACTTTCAGAGCCACCTCTCAATATCTCATAATTATTTTTATTACCTCCATGTTACACATGAAGAAACTGGGGCATGAGCAGGTTAATTAACTTGCCCAAAGTCATATAAGCTTTTAAACAGAGAAGCTAGGATTTAGACCCAGACAGTCTTGGCTCAGGAGTCTATGTGATTGGAACTCTAATGGCCACATTTTTAATAGAGTTAAAAATTATAAGATGAGAAAATCAATCTTGAAATTTCTAAAAAATGCAATGAAAGTATTTAGTGGCTAAATTAACTTTAAAAATGAATATTTTAGGTCCTTGTAAATGTGAAAAATCACAAAAATAGACCAGCATGAAAAATTAAATATTGCATCCTAGTCATCGAACTCATAGATTTTATAAAAGATGCTTTTAAAGATAAGTACAGAGACCCTTACTAAGTATGTCATCATTCATTTAAAAACCATAAATATTATATTAAATGATAAACATTCATATTTTCCAGTACATATGAACTTTTTTTAAAGAAAAAGAGAAAAATATATATTTCCTATGCATATATATATATATATATCCACCCCACAGCTCCATAACATCTTAGAAATGCTATTTCTAATACATAAATTCCATGTGTCTGTCAATAAAAATATTAAAGACTATAAGGTCAAGCCTACAAGAGTATAATTTTTGTTTATTATTCAAATCAGAAAATACTCTGATTTTTTTTTTGCTGTTAAACACATTTACCAACTATTATCCTTCTGTTTTGTGTGTTTTGTCTTGCTATTGTAAAGATAAAATTAATGAAGTGATATATTTATTTCTTAGAGACAAAAACATCAGGAATGATTTATGTTATGGTTGCTTTCCTATTTTGAATAGAGAATTTTTGCTTACCTTCTTTTGTAGGACACAATGGAAAATGAATATAAACATTCCCTGTAGAGAATTGAATATAGTGAAGAGATACGCCATGATGACTGTGCTTTCATTAATATACATGAGTCCGAAGGCCCAGGTCAATCCTAATAGGCAGAGAAGAGCTATTGCACCTATAACCCATGACCTGTAGAGAGAAAAGAAAATTAAGGGTTATCAAATGATTGGTCTTTAATTAACACAATCATATCATATCAACAATACTGACACTGAAAAAAATGTTACGGTAAGTTTTATTGACAGAAAATGTAGGACAGGTGGTATAAGTAACTTTAAGATTTTAATGGGGACTACAAGTTTTCAAACTTGAGGAGATATACATGAATGAGAATGTTATGAACACAGAAATTCATTTAAGCATAAGCAGATTTGTACTATTAAATTATTCATGTATTTGCAGCACATATGCAAATGATATGGAGATGTAATTATGGTGAATGGCAAGGGGGAAAAGTCTATAAAACTATGTTAGTTTCCACTGGCTTCATTGTTATGATAACATTTGTTTGATTGGACTCTCTCCATTAGTACTTCATCTGATACACTTTTACCCCATTTTTCCAAATTTCCTCTTTTTCCATAAAAATTTTAGTGCTTACTGACAAAAAAAGAGCTTGGATTCGAAGGAAGAAGTATATGGAATATATGTATGAATTTTTAAAAGTTCTATTTGTCTGATTCTACAGTTATGTAAAACAAGTGTGATACAGTGGATGGAAAAAATTGTTCCACTCTAGATCACAATCTGTGTTGTCTCGGCCTTCGGATTGCTGTCTTCTAGGTTAAGTTGGACTAGACTTTGAAAATCAGGCAACTGGCAGCTTTGCTGAAAAGAAGCTTAAAAGCTCAGGGCACCTTCATCACTTGGAAGGGTCTGTAAACTTGAGGGAGAGAATGAAGCTGAGGATGGGATGGAGTGGTATGAACAAAGTAGGCTAGAATGGAAGACAATTCTCACTCTCCATTCCCTTAGTTTCCTCCAGCTGCCATTCGCAATAGTAATCAATGGGTGACAAAAGTCCATATATTTGTGGCTGTGTGTTCTGTATTGACTATCAACATAAAGTGAATCTTTCCAATAAATGGGAATCCAGTAAGTGAAAATGGAATCCTTCTAAGTATATAGGAGAATAGGACCAAACCAGGCTAGATCTCTATATACTCATGAACCCACCCTTTCCTTTCCCAGCACACCTTCCTTGAAAGAGTAAATATTTCTTTTCAGCAGACCATACTCAGCCACTTGCATTGTCTAAGGAAGAAATATTTATGGGGATTGAAACTTCGCAAAATGAAGGGGTTAAAAGAAACCACACACGTATTCACCAAATCCAAAGCTGGGTTGTGTAAAGTTTTCAGAGAGCACTATGTCTTAAGAAAGATATGGTCCCAAAGTAGTCAATTAGTATTAAATTCTTATTAAAATTCATCATGACTATTTACTGTTTTTCTTCTATAACCATCAGCTATTATATTGCCTATTCGAATATCCCTTAAATTTAACATGTTCAATTTAAAAACATTAATGTTGTTGAACGAAGAATCCCTAAAGGAAGCTTGCCATTGTATGTGGCATGTTTGCTTATATGAATCAGAAAATATCTTAGATATTAATATTTTTTCTATAACTTAACTGAAAAATATGGGAACTCTCAAGATAAAGCTCTCAGATTCTTACAGGCATTGGAAAAAGGAAAAATGGAAAGAATACCATTAAATCAAGGCAAAATTGCTATTTGAATTTAGAAATAAAATGATAGAATAAAATACTCAAGTCAGCTAGTATCCACTGGAAAGCACGTGATGGGCCCAAGAGTTAATGATATAAAAACTACAATGAGCCCAATTTCTAAAGAAAAAATATATAAGCAAGAGCATGAAGAAGTAAGTGAAATGTCATTGGAGAAAATGAAAACAAAGGACTCTTCACCAGAAGAACAAACTGAAAGTCTAGAGTAAGGTCACTTATAGGTTGCCCCAATCTTAACTTTATTGTGGCAGGACACATAATTTTAAAACGTATAAAAGAAAAAAGCTCAAATATCAACATTTGAGTGTATTCTTATTAGATTAGTACAGACTTGTAGCTTTGTTTTAGAAATTTAAAAGATGTATTCATAAACAGGTCATTAATCAAGTGACGTGTCAAAATTGAAAGGTAATTTTCCATACGTCGAATTGAATTTGTGAAGAAGACTTTTTTTTTCCCTTTTTGAATATTGAAAATAGAAATTCATTAATATCCACTGCAATTGGGTAGCTTCGTACTCCTAGGATCATTCGGAAGATACACGGCTAAGTCACAAAATAATTTTGGATGAGTGATGTCCAAACAAACAACAGAAATGACGACATATGAGGCACAGAAGAACGCATCACAATGAAAGGAGAAGGCTATTCAAAGCGAAGCAAGTCTGTACCACATGAGGTTGCTACGAGTGTGGCACTGATTTCAGGTGATACCCAATTAAAAGAGGTGAAGCACAATTGGTTTTTGGCAATACACCTGCAGCATATTTATTCTGCATACGAGTTGTATGCCTTATTATTTTCCTGCACAGTTTGCTCTTCTGCCTCAATGTGAATGACAGAAGCTCTAATGATTTTTCAGTACTGATCTGACAGCTGGTTCATGGGACCACACTGATAAATGGAATTTATCAGCCATTCAGGTCATTCTTACTTGATGAAGGGTCTGTTATCCTCATAGCTAAAGAATGCATAGACATAAAGACAAGAACACCAACATTAGCATTTTATGACAAAGATTTCATATGAAAAATATTCTCCTGGTCCCCAAAGGCCTCTGTACCCCACCTCCCTAAAAAGCATCATAACCTTCCCTTTTTATTCAGAAGGTAAATCCTAAAATGACCATGAGAACTCACATAACAAGAAATAAAATCAATTTTACAATACTGCAATATCCCTTATGAGACTAAAAAATTCCATTTTTTCATCATGAGCTCATATTACTTGTGACTTGACAGAGACATTTATTTCTTAGAGATCGCATTTCTCTAGAGAATGAGAAATCTTATGAGCAATCTGGAAAAGGCTTGGGGGCATACTTAAAATGACAGATTTCATGTCACCTAAAGGTATCCTTATTCTGTAATATTAGTAGGTAAGATTACTTAATTATGGACAGTTCGTTTCTAAGTAATTTTAACTTGCAGATGATTGACCTGAGTTAAATCTGAACACTATAGCCTTTTGAAAATAATCGATCCTGACTACTTTAAAATTCCTTCTGTTAGTGTACTATGAAAAAAAATCTGAATAATATTTTGTAGTAATAGAAGCAAACATACAGCATCTGTTCATTATCACTTACATTAACTAATTTATTTTGTAGAACAGAAAGGAAGGGAAACTGTTCTTTTCTCTTCCTTCTTGCTAGGGGCAATAGTTTCTAATATTACACATACACAAATAGAGCTCTTAGACCCCAAATATGATGTATTTTTGAATAAAGAGAACTACTGAAGAGAAATCTCACTCTACAAAATGACAAAAGAGTAAAGAATGGAGGGAGAGCCTGGGATTTAAAACAGTTGGCCTGGAATTCACATCCTGGATCAGCCACTTAACTAGCTAAAGGCAACAAATTAGTTAACCCATGGATGCGTCAGTTCATACAACTATGAAGTGGTGATAATTATAATGAAATTATATATTATGTATAAAGTGCTTAGAACAGTGCCTGACATGTTTTATGTACAGTAAAGATTATATTGTTATTGTTAGACTATTTAAAGCATGAGTAAAGTTGCACTGAAAAGATAGAATCTCTCACCCGAAGAATAAACCACTAAATAATAGATGTTGAGTAGTTAAATTCATTTGAGGACACTTCAGGAGCAATATTATGCAGCAAAATAAATGTGGCAGATATGGGCTTGTAAATGGAGCAGGGAATGACTAACTGTGCTGTCTAATATGGTGGCTACTGGCCCATGGGCTTATTTAAATTTAAATTCTTTAAAATGAAATAAAGTTTAAAATTCAGTTCCTTAGTCACACCAGTCACATTACAAGCACTCAAAAGCTTCAGTAGCTGTCATATTGGACAGTGTAGTTCTAGAACATTTCTGTGTTCACAGAAAGTTCTACTGGACATCGCTAGACTAGGACATTCAAAGAGGGTTTTAAGCCAGAAAATGGAATTTCAAGTGATATTTAAATAATGCCATGGATGTGTGAAAGGTAAACAGAGGAGAATTTCTAAGAATTGCTCATATATAACAGTTGTGAAGTGTTCCTAGAAAATCTTGTACTTACATCAATATTGAAAAGTTATAGAATATCATAGAATGATATTTATTTCATCATCTGCATTCCCATTGCATCAGTCTATTCCATCTGTTACTCCAAGTTCATGACTGGAATAACTATTTCTACCTTAATTTGTATATAGTAGGATATCGAGTAAAGAAAGTTCCAAAGGTTAGCCTATAGGAACATGTCCAAACATGCTGTACAAAATTGTACTGAGCTATCTAAATGTTTCAAAAAAGAAAATACAAAACTTGTACTGTAATTGCTGGAGTGAGATGTTTTGCCATTAATGTGAAATAGCAAAAAAAGGGTACAATTCAGCAGTTTTTGTGAGCAGTTGTGGGAAAACGCCAGTTGTTCCACTCAATAACAAAGACTGTAATTCCAGCCTCACTTACAGTTAACTATAGCCATGCGTTTAAGTAGTGTCCACTGGGATGTGAACAGAAGTGAATTGTGACATTTCTGGGTCTTGCCAATTAAAGGACTGGAATAGGGCTCCTCTTGACCATTTTTTTTCCTTCCCCTTTGTTAGGAGAAAATGACAACAGAGCCTCAGACCCAGAAATGGAAGCTGCTTTTGATGTGAAGCCATGGTATTAGATTAAAACCAAGTTTATATAACCAATTTAAGCTACTATATTTTAGAATATTTTCTTTTACAGCAGCTTAGCCCATGCAATAATTAGGAAAGCATGTAATACGTCTCTTTTAGCTATAAGAATCACCAGTTCATATTTAATATAGAAATCCATGACAAAGAACCACTCATTAATTTTGTTCCCAGAATATCATAAATAATATATAATAATTCAGAATCTAAGGATCACTGAAGATTACCTATAATATGGCAGTGCCTTCCATCATTTTGTCAGATCTTCTGTTGGCTTAGAGAATCTAGTTTTATAAAGTCTCTCCACTAAATTCAAGTTAAATTGATAGTAATGTTGCCAGCAGTTATGGTGGCAAAGTTATTTGTTATTGATTCACTTAAAAAATATATCTATAGAACTAGTCTCAAAGCTGAATAATTTTCATTCTGATTTACCAAAGAAAGTCTATTGAAACAAAATCTCATCCCAGATTGTATGAGTAAAATGATTTCACTGCAGTTATTTTAAGATTTTATAAAAATTTGGACACAAAGGTCTAAGATGCTCTGGGCAGATGTTAATGGGAAGTTTCAGGTTATCTTGTAAGTGGTGATGTTCTGAAAATGAAGTAAAATACCCTGTAAGTACAATTTTTTTAAGGAACAAATTAAAAAAAGGAACTTTATTTCTTTAGCAAATATTTTCCTTTTGTCAAACATTTTATCTTATTTTATTCAACTAACATAAAATTGAAAGCTTTAAATATTAATGTCAAAATTATCTTAAAAAGTGATCTTTAGAATCAAGATAAGAATTTTAGGGGTCTCTGCTTAGATTGATAATAATTATGCATATATTTATATGCTCTATAACAATTTCAAAGCACACAAAAGGACTATTAAAATCCAGCTCCATGGAAACTTAGCTCAAAATACATCTTCAAGAGGATAGGTTTGTTAGCCAAACCATTAACTTATACATACTAATAATACTGTGATATAAAGATTCATAATTCATAATAAGTACATCAGTATAGACAGATGATGAATGGATAGAAACAACATGAATGAATCAAGTTAGCTATAGGATATTCTTTCTCTGTTTCAAGAGTTCAAAATAGAATTGTTTTTGGACATAATTTTTGATGGAAATATCTAAAATTCAAGATACAAAGAAGATAAGTTGAATAATGTAAAACTTTCCCTTCTATTATATTTACATATAGAATTTTTTTTAAAGCAGGGGGATAGGTAAGGTTTGGTGTGAAGGAAGATGGGGCAATGCAAGGCATATATATATAATATCCAAGCCAAAAGATACAGTCATTATGTCGCAGCATGTTCAGGAAAATGAATGGCTTAGGCAGAATTGTAGATCCCATCAACATTTATCCCATTCATCCTACCAATATGAATGTATTCTGCGATCCTCTGGAATTGTTGGGTAGTTAATTAATTGTTGATAATTGAACCGTATGTCTAACAGTGAGAAAGAGCTATCACGGTGTACATGGATATACTGATTAGTACCCCAATATTTCCAGGTTCAGTATGTAGCTGAATTTACTTTCCCTGGTATAAAACTAATTCTAACAAAGGAATAAAGACATTTCCCCTTGAATTTGGTATAAAACTAATTCTATCAAAGGAATAAAGACATTTCCCTTGAATTTGGTTTGGGCTACCATAGGAATGATAAGGTTAATGTCAGTGAATTTCTGAAATTAAAATGTATTCTTCATTCTTCATAGAAGAAAAAAAAAACAGTAATGATAAATACTTCAGCATCTGTAGTGAGGCTTTCCTTATTGTCGCTTAATCAGTTCTCAACTGAGGATGGACAGGTTGTAGTTCCTCATGTTCTATAAGAAGCTGACGGCCACGCAAACTAACGGACTTCACCTAGAAGTGATCTTTGAGATGCTACTTTGCCAAACTCCCAATCCAGGGAGCCCAGTCTTTAAAAGCAGAATTGGAAGGACAAGGCCTTTTAAGACTACAATGTTCACAGAATAAATGAAATAGTGGAGAGAGGAAGAAAAGTAACACCTCTACTTGCACTAATTCCCCAGCAGCAAATGTTAGCAGGCAACGGGGGAAGAATGTTTTAAATGTCATATGTTATTCACGTTTTTAAATGGATCAGACACTTAAAAACCACAATAACCTGGCCAAGTAGCAACACCTAAGACAACATTAAAAGATCTGCTACCCAATGGTTAAAGAATATTTAAGACAGCATAACTCAGAGTAGTGATCAGAGAAAGATCTAAGTATTTCCTATTTATACCTTACTGTGTTAAAAATGCTTAATCAATTTGTAACACTCAGGATAAAAATCATGACTGTTTTATATTTCTTTCAAATGTATTTTATATTAGTGGGACTATACTATCCAAGAATTACATTCAATTCTCACTCTTAACTCCTTTAGGAAAATTAAAGAAAAGTCATCTAGAATATAATGCAACATTTCTGAGTAAAATATGAATAATGTTTCATTATGGTCATACGTTTAAGTCACTAAGTATTAAAGATATAAAAATTCCTACAAAAATATGAACTTCATATAACATAAATGTAGAAATTATCAACAGTAGAGAAGATGATTATATTTCAACTGTGGATTTTATTGCTATTAAAGTATTACTACTAAAAGCTATATTGGTGCGTTTTGTTCATATAATATTTATTAGGAAAAGAATGAAATGAACCAAATAAATAAAATAAGTAGCTCAGAATATGTCATGAACATTTTCATTCCCATGCCTCAATGTCCCTATAATAATATTGCAGATTTGAGAGCATCCACCAATATTAAATTTTTAACCACAGAT